TTTGGAGATGGGAGAGAGTGGCTGAAGATCTTGATTGCCCAGGCCTGTGTCGGGGAGCAGCCTCTTGTACCTTCAGGGGCCTCTTCTGGGGCCTTCTGGGCCTTGGTCTGGAGATAGATGTATGGCACAGCACCCACGCCTCTCCATTCCCCTGCTTTCTGCTCTAGAAGGGTATGAGCAAAGCCCCATTCCCTGCCCCTCCTTACCCACAGGCTGACAGTGCATACATCCCTCCAGGGGAGACTGTGCTGGGAAGGAGGCCTAGAAGTCCGGGAGCACCATCTCTGCCCTCCTAGGGGTGCTCCAGGTACCCTTAGTACCACCTCTTAGGACCCAGCAGTCCTCTTAGACTACTTCATGCCTTCTGCCCTGACAGGCTTGGGGCTTTGTACCTGGGGGGCTGACTTAAGGGACTCTAGTGTACTTCCTTCCCTCCCTCAGGAATCACAGATGGAGGATGTCCTAAGTGTGGAAGCTTAACTTGGGGCCCCATGTTCTCCTAGAGGCCTGCGACTTTAGGGGGAGCCATGGGTTCCCAGACTGCATCTCTCACGTGGGCCCTGCTGTTTCACATTCCACTGAACCCTGTTAATTCTGGGAAAGCCAGGCTTTGGAGTCCTCAGATAATCAAAGCTAAAAGAGATCAAGATCAACTGCTTGATTTCATGAGAGGAAAACTGAGGCTGCGGTAGAGGAGACTAACCACACAGAAAAATGATAGATCTAAGACTTGAGCCCAGCTAGGCTAGAGAATGGATCTGCATATGACCTTGGATTGGAAGTTGAACTTGGACCTTGATCCTGGACCTGGAATGTTGACCTAGACCGATTCCTAGACATTGAAACTTGACTGTGATGTGGATTTGTCTTGGATATCAGACCGGGACCTGTAACCTCAAAAACTGGCCTTGGACTAGACTCTGGCCTTGGTCCCAGACTTGAGGTTGGACATGGACATTGAACCTGACTCAGATCTGTACCTGGACACTGGCCTAGGTGTTGACCTGGACCTAGCCTTTGAGCCTAGACATCTAACATGTTTTAACCTGGACCTTGGATCTCAACCCAGACCAGGATGCTAAGGGATGCAGTGATAAATAGAAGGTTCAGGTGGGGTGTGTCAGCACAGATTGGGCACCTCTCCAGCCTTCTCTGTGCTCCCTCGTCTAAGAGATTGGAGCAGCCCATTGGCACCGTGTGCCCCACGTGAACTTTCTGAGGTGTGCAGTAGGTGTGCAGCAGCTGGGACTATTGGGCTGGGCTCCCAGGCCTGGACAGAGCGACTACTTGGCGCCATCAGGGAGAGTGAGAGGAAGTAGGTGCTGATGTGATGTGGTCAACTAGCTAAGCCCCTGGGTAGCAGTGGGAGCGCTGTCTCAGCCTGCTGGGGGAGGCTTAATGCAGCTGCAGAGGGCAGACGACTGCGTTATTGGATTGGCATTGATCCCTCATCTGCTGGGGTCGGATGCACTTTGAGAGGACATGGGGGCAGGATCGGGCTGGGGTGCAGAGGGAGGGATGCTGGCTCCCAGCTAGAGTTTGGCATTAAATGTGAGGAGAGGAAGATGCTCCTGAAGACGCCTCGACAGGGGGTCCGTGGAGACCACTGACATGCAGACGGATGAGTAGCCATCTTTGCTGAGGTGGCTGAAAGTACCAGGATTCTCTGAGGGGCTTAGGTCTGTGAGGGGTGGGCTCGAGGGAGTTGAGGGTACAGCTCTGAGGGGGTCTGGAGGGTGTGAGTGGGCATCTCACTGAGTCTGTGCTCAGAGCAGCCCCTGGGTGAAGGGGGAAGGCCAGTGGGAGAAGAGAGGGATTTTGCTGGAGGGGGTCAGGGAAATGAGATCATGTCCCCCTTCTATGGGGAGCTCTGCAGAGACACCTGGAGCTGTCCCATTTGGGGGCATCCTTTCCCTATTCTGAGGTTCTGTACAGGTTTGGGGCAGCCTGCTAGGCATTATACTTGGCAGGGGGTGAGGGAGATACAGGAAGAGAAGGGAATGGGGAGGGGAGGGACAGTCCTCTGGAGTGTGTGTGTCTGTGTGTGGAGGAAGGGGGGAGGGGGAGGAGGAGGAGGAAAGAGGAGGCCTCTAAGTTCTCTAGCGTTCCCAGGCTTTCCCTGAGCTCAGGGTGCACCTCTTTAACTTGGGATCTTGCATCTGCCTCAGTTAGGAGCCTTGCTTTCTCAGATCTTTCCATTTGCAGCCTGTGGCCACCCCCTCTTCTTCCCACCAGGCTCATCCTGACCCTGCAGCCTGAGCTGAGCTGCACGAAAGGCTTGTAAGAGGATCTTTCTAATAACTGGAACTATCTCCAGCCCCAGGCCCTCCCTCCCTCCCTCTCCCTCCTCCCTCTCTCCTTTCTCCCTCCTTTCCTTCTCCTCCCTCCCTCTCTTCATCTCCCCCCTCCTCTCTTTCTCCTTGTTTACCCAGCACACTTACACACGCTGGGAGAGAAAAAACGTCGGCTCAGCAATTTTTCACACTTCCCTCAAATGCTCAGCAAGGTTATTTCCGGCAGAGCAGAGACAACAGACCACCAGGAGCCTGCAGGTTCTCTGAGGACTCCCAGGACCCACCCCTATGGAGTAAGGAAGCTCTCACTGCCCAATCTGGCCACACCCCAAGAAGGGGAGAGGCCCCTGGAAACAGGACTTGGCAGACCCTGTTTTCTGGTCATACCCAAGCTTGGAGGGACAGCTGCCCCTCTCCAGCACTGAAAGTCCATAGCAGATACAACCGAAGTAGCCAGGTCAGGGTACCTGTCCTTACTGCAGGGCAGAGATCAAGCTAAGAAAGATACATGAGCCTAGAAACTGTGCCACCCTCAGCAAGGGGCATGTGCTTAATAGAGCCCCAAGGAAACCCTAACATTTTGCTAGACCCTCATTGAGGTGTCTTACAGGTCCTCCTGCACCACATTTGACCTTCACGGAAACTGAGCCTGTCAAAGTTGGAAGGATACTTGCTTCATGACATTCAAACTCTTGGACTGCTAGGGAGACTGGGGACTGGAGAAGGAAAGGCACTTGCCCAAGGTCACACAGCAAGTGAGCTAAACCTGTACCTGCTAGGCTATCAGGACAGCCCTAGGATCTCCTGGAGGCCCTAAGGAAAGGGATGAGAATGGGGGGTTTCGGGTGTCAGAACTGGTGGAACCTCTACAGAAACATTACTGTTCCCACCCATTGTTCACCCAGGGGCTCCTTTCAAAACCTTTGTGGTGTAAATTCAAGACAAGACTTTTTCCTGCCGGCATCCTGAGGCACAGCCTGCAGTTTTGGCCGTGTGTGGGGAACTCAGCTTTTATGGGTTTCCTCAGTGGGCCTGGGGACAGGACCAAGGGGCTTCAGAGGGTGGGATCCAGGAGCTTTGTGTCAGTCCCTTAAGGAACCCATATCCCAGTCTTGCAGATTACTTCATTTTCTACCAGCACCCAGCCTTGGCTTGGCCCCAGGTCCACCCTCTGTCTTGCCAACCCTCAGCCCAGCCATATCCTTGGGCTTCTGTCTCTCACCCCAAGAGGCCTTGGGTTCCAGAACAGAGGACAACAGAATAAGGGACATATGGGCAGAGGGGGAGGGGGTTTTGGTGGGTAGATGGTGAAGGCCAGGGGCTGGGGGGCTGCAGCTGTACCCATAGCCATTCCCTGATTTCTTTGACCTTGGTGAGGTCACACAGCCCTTTGCCCAGCACTCTCTCTACCTGGCATGGCAGAGTATTGGAATGTAAGTGAAAAGCTTGGAAATCCCTGGAGCAGAACCCCCCTCTTGTCTTTGCCTCCCATCTCAGCTCCCCTTCTTCCTTAGCCCTTTCTCCCCCCCCCCAAAGCTGATGCCACATGTGATGTCAGATCTCTTAGTACCAAAGGGACTCCTCCTCTCCAGACACCTGCCTGGTGGGGGCCATCAGAGAAGAACCCTTTTGTGATCCCCTCGATGGAGGATGGGGCCCACAAAAGCATTCTCTTCTTCTCTCTAATCTCCAGAGAGCACCCTGTGTGGGTCTCTTGTCCCCCAAACCCTGTCCCTGCAGGAAGTTGCTCTGAGAAGAGATGGAGTGTGGGGGTGGGGCAGGGATGGAGAGGCTTACACGGAGCACTGGGGTCGTCTCTGGAAGGGGTGAGAAGCTGGGGATGGGAGGTAGTGCAGCCTAGGGGACCAGGAGCCACTTTAGGGCACCCCCCAAATCCTCTTCCTTGCTATCCCCAGGACAGGCCCAGCCTCTGGCAAGCATGTGGCTGAGGGTAACAAAAGAGTTCAGAAAGGGGTTCTGAGAGCACTTGTCTGGCATCGCCAGGGGCGCAGGTTTGAAGGGAGGGGGATGCCCCCGGCTATCCCCGGAGAGCCAGCCCCATGTCTCCGGAGACTGGCCGTTCAGACCGTTCAGGCCTCTTCCTCCCCACCAGGCACACTCAGGCAGCCAGCCCTGTCCCTCAGCCGGAAGACGAAGGTAACCTGCAATTGCTAGCGCCTCAGCAGCACCCCCACCCTGCCCCCCAGTAGCAGCCTTTCCTGAGTTTCCTTTCTGTGTTCTTTCAGCACGAGCCAGCCCCATGTCTCCGGAGACTGGCCGTTCAGACCGTTCAGGCCTCTTCCTCCCCACCAGGCACACTCAGGCAGCCAGCCCTGTCCCTCAGCCGGAAGACGAAGGTAACCTGCAATTGCTAGCGCCTCAGCAGCACCCCCACCCTGCCCCCCAGTAGCAGCCTTTCCTGAGTTTCCTTTCTGTGTTCTTTCAGCACACCGTACCCCAGCCCTGTCCTAAGGCCACAACTTTCAAAGTCCCAGCTGGCGGGTGGCTGCGGGATGGGCCGACCCTGCCACTTTCCCTTTGTACGGCTGAGCCCCAGCCCCGCCCGCCGGCCCTGGGGAAGTCCGGGAGGCGCGCGCGGCCAGAGAAATCTCCCGGGGTTCCCTGCCGAGTGCACCCCTCCTCGAGGCCCAGGTTGGGGAGGGCCCGAGCTTCCCTCCCCTTTCCCCTTCTCCGGGTCCCACTTACCGTTGTCCCCGGAAGGCCCCCGGACGCCAGGCAGCACGTAGGCGGTCTCCAAGGGGTGGTAGGTGGGCGCCGGCACCCCGCTACACTGGAAACCGTCGCCTTTGATCTTCTTTACCAAGAAGGAGCGCGGCATGGTGCAATTGGCTGGGGGCTCGGCGGGGGCACTTGCGCGGAGCTGGGTTGTGGGGAGGCGGCCAGCTGGGCGCTATTGGCTGTCCGCGCGGGTTTCAGCACTGGACAGCTCCCAGCGGGCGGGCAGGCGGTCCCCGGCGGTGGCTGCCCGGGCCGGGCTCGGGCTCCCGCTCGGGCTCGGCGGCGGCGGCGCGCAGACAGCCGATCGCTGGAGCTGTGCTCAGCACTCAGGCTGCCGGCTTTATATGGGACGCAGGCTGGAGGAGATCAGGTGGTCCCCTAGCAATGGAACTGTTCAGCGCTCTAATCCATCAAATGTCCCCCAGGACAATCGCTCCGCATACGTTCCCCTGAACCGGCTGCGGTGGGGGCAGGCCGGGAGCAGGGAGCAGAGAGCAGGCAGGAGGGGAGAAAGTGAGGGCGAGAAAGGCACAGAGATACAGAGAGACGAAGAAAGGGGAGCGTGTGTGCGTGTGTGTGTGTGTGTGTGTGTGTGTGAGAGAGAGAGAGAGAGAGAGAGAGAGAGGGGGAGAGAGAGAGAGAGAGAGAGAGAGAGAGAGAGAGACATGCAGAGAAAGGAGAGTCACACGCTGAAAAAGGTAGGAATAGAAGCAGAGAGAGCAAGATAAGGACAAAAAGACACAAGCGAGAAACAGAAGAAAGAGATGGAGAAAGTAGCAGCACACACCCCTGCACCCACGGGGAGGAAAAGAGATCCAGACACACAAAAAGGAAGCCCCTCTAGTGTGCAAAGAAAAGGTCAGGGGGGAACCCCTGCAAAACAGAGATGGAGGAGAGCAGAGAGAGCACAGGTAGGGTTCAAGCACATGGGGACGCAGGCAAGGGGGTGCAAAGAAAAGAGTGAGCTAGCCGGGGACTATCCTCCTGTCTGCCCACAGTCCTCGCCCTCTGTCCAGTTCTGAAGTGGCCAGTGTGGACACCAGTTTAAACTAGAAGAAACCCCTCCACCATCCTCAGCTTGGGCTCCCACTAGAGTCACCTATTGGGTTTGGGGGTCAACTTTCTTCTCCCAGATGGGGGGAGCAAGTCCCCCATGCTGGTGCTGGCCTCTCTCAGCCAGGCATGTTTCCGTGCTTATCTCAGGCAAGTGCTGCAAGAGGAAGTGAAAATCGCCCAGTAATTAATTTCCCTGCTGCTGGGGGGGTGGTTTTGACACATCCGAGGCTGTGTCTTTCCCTGAAGCGGGGAGCAGACAATAGAGACACGTGGACTGGGAAGGGAGAGGGGGGAAGGGAGGGGGAGCGGGGTTCCTGCTGGAACTCTTTGCAGGTCAGCTCCTTTGTCTCTGGAAGGATCCAAGCGGGACCCCCCTCCCAATCTAGCCCAAACCTGGAAGACCCCTCCATGTCTTGGCAGAACCAAGGAGCAGGAGAACCCAGCCCCCTGTCCAGATGCTGCTGGGCAAAACCCCAGGGTGATGGGCTGCTTCTACAAGTGTGTGATGGCCAGTACAGAAGAGTCCCAGAACTGGACTCCAGGGACACCAGGCTGTCACTGGCCAATGGCATTCTGTGGATGGATGCAAAGCTGATGGAGTAGGGATGTCCTTTGGGTCCTAGGTCATCCACTACCAGTTGGAAAGATAAGACCTAGAGAGGACACGGAGGTATCTGAGGTTACACAGTGAGACAGCTACAACTGCCAGACTTCCATATCCTCTGGATACCATTTGGTCAGGGGCTGGCCTGGCCTTTGGTGTGTGGCTTAGAAATCTTAAGAAGAAAATTTGAATCTGTGATCTTGTCAAGGCTTTGTGTGATCTGGAGGTCCCCGCCCATCTTCTCAGTTATATTGTCTACTATTTTGCCCCCAGGGACTTTTTAAAACCTCAGTCTCAGAGGTGAGGAGCCTGCAGCCCTTTCCCCAAGACACTGCTCTGGGCATGTGAGCCCACTTCTAGTTCTTCAGGCCTCATGTTTCCTCTGTGCAGCCGCCTTCCCTTTCCTTCACCCCTGCTCACCCCTGCCCCACGATGTAGCTGAGTCACTTACTCCAGGAGGTCTCCTTGACTTCCTTCATTGTACACCACATCAACTTGCCCATTTGTCTCTAAACTGCATGAGGACAGGGACTCTGTCCTGTGCATGGCTCAGCACTCTCTTAATAACCTATTCCCAAGTCTCCCAGATCTGCTCCCTGCTAGCTGTGAAACCTTGGGAAAATCACTCAACTGATCTGTGCCTCAATTTTCCTGTTTATAAAATGGAAATAATACTTGTTGCTACTTTGAGGGTTCTTGAAAACATTGTAAGAGTTGTTGTGCATAAAGAGCTTGGAATGGTGATAGGCACATAATAGGTGCTCAGTACACCCAAATTCTGTATGGACAAGTGTGCCAGTGGCACCTAGCATTTATTTATCATGTGTTCATGGAGTGCCGTGGAATAAATGGTGAGCAAGGAATCCCTGGTCACTGGGATCTTGGAGCTAACATCCAGGGAAGAGTGGGTGGACAGTAATCATGGAAACATTTATGTCAACATGGTCTTTTCTGAGACTCATTCAGTGTTGTGAGGACATGGCAGTGGATGGAATCATGGGGGCGATCAATGGTGCCTTTAGACAGAGTGGCCAGCAGAGATCTCCTAGGAGAGGTGCTATTCACGCCAAGGTTTGAGGCAGCTGTGGAGGAGCCAAGGAAAGAGGGCTCGAGGTAGAGGCTGCCCGAGTTCAAAAGGCTCTGAGGTAGGAATGACCTGGGGCTGGAAGAATGAGCTCGAGGGATAGCAAGATGTCGAAAGAGATGAGGTCTAGGAGTTGGCAGTGCTGAACCCCATCTCACTATGCTGGTGATATTCCACCCATAATGGTGGCCTGTAACCATAGCCCCCACTGGCTGGAGAGACGCTTTTGGCTGCTAACACAGAGGAAGTTGTTTGTTCAGGTGGTGACTTCTATTCATGGTGTGGCCATAGTTGGGGTTTGTGGTAGACACTGGTATCTCTGTCCCCTAAGAGTGCCTAGTGCCGAGCTCACCTCTGCCTGCCTGATGGTTCTACCACTCCAACCTTCTGCTAAGACATGGCAAGAGTAAGCCAGAGAACTCAACAAGTCATTGACGATCTGCAGTAAGTTAGAGACAGAGCTGGGACTGAGCTCCTAAGGAAGATGGCATGGACGCAAAGCCAGATAAGAAGAAACTTTTAGCCCAGAAGCTGAGTAGCTTTGGGGAGGGGGAGGCCTTAAGCATGGATGAAATACACAAGAGCTGGCAGAATTTCATCACTAGGACACCAAGAAGAGCCAGTGTCCCCAGAACTGTCCCCAGAACCAGCTTATTGGGTTCAGGAAAACTGCTGCTAGGAATTTATTTCTCCAAGTTACATCAAGTAAGGAAAAAACTATTCCCAAGGATGTTTGCTGCAGCATCCAAGGTTGGAATAAAAACCCCAAGCTGGATAAAGTGGGGAGGGGAAGAAAACATCCACTTGATGGAATATTCTGCAGTCATTAAAAATTTATATACAGGGAAGAACTCATGGAATTATGTTAAGTGAAGGATGCAGAATCCAGAAATCTCTCACAGCATGTTCACAGCTATGAACCAAAATAAAAATAAACACACACAGAGAAGTGAAAGGCGGCTGGTGGGGCTATGAGGGAGTTTTCCTCCTTTTCATATTTTCCAAAAAGACTATAAAATATTTCAGGTCAACAAACATTTATCTTGAGCACTTGCTGACTCTCTATTTACTTCCAAATAAAAGAAATGATGAAGTTTAGTAAAACATGTCAGAATATTCATTATTCCTTCTTCTGGTTTGGGGAAGATAGCATTGCGGATGGCAAGTTTCCCTAGTGACAACAATTATTATACTAACAGCAACATGACCGAGGAGCTCCTTGAGCCTGGCTCTGAGCTACATAAGAACTTAGGAGAAGCAGGCTTTGCCTGGGGCTTCAAGTCAAGTGATTTGGGGTCAGTTTATGTTCAGTTCAGATCGCTGCCTTACCATCTCCTAGCTGTCTTTCTCTGTGCCTCTTTTTTCCCATCTGTAAAATGGCAGTGTAAATGGGCCTCACAGTGATGATTAGATGATAATGTCTCTGGAAAGTGCTTAGAACAAGGCCTGGTACACAGGCATGTGACATGGTTAAGGCCAACTGTTGTTATTTACTTATCTTCACTCCTCTAGGCCTCATCGTGGCTCAGGGAGGAAGACTCTGCTGTTGGCCTGTTCTACAGATGAGGCTTAAGGTCTCAAGGTCACTGTGCCTGCACCACCCATCAGGAAGGAGGCATCTCTCAGAGTCTGGGAGTCTCAGAGCTATGTGACCTGAGCTGGCTGGTAGAGATGCCCCGAGCCTCCCCCTGCCCATCTGTAAAGGGCCGTGGGGCATCATGGGACTTGCACACTAAACTCAGCATCTCAGGAAGTAGCACAGACTTGGGAGTCAGGAGCCCTTCCCTACCCTGGCTCTTCTCTCCCTTCTGGGCCCCAGCTTTCTCATCTGTCAAATGGGGATGGGATGAAATGGTCCCTGAGCTGCTGTCCAGATCTGATAATGGAATTCTGTATGAATTCCAAGGAGGAGAGCAGCCACAAATGCATCCACTCTGTGTTGCTGGGGCTCTTTCTCTCATAAGCTCTGCTTGCCCTGCCCAGGTTCTGAGTGTGTTTATCTAGACTTCTCTCTCTGGCCTAAAGGTGAGGGGAAGGCTGAAGCTGGATGATTTTACAGCTCGGTGCACCCAGGTTCAGGCTCTCCAAAGGCACACGATAGGGCCTCAGAAATTTGACAAATGCCGTGTTCTTTTCTTCGTTGCTTTGGTCCTCTGGGAAGATGATGTGACAATGGAGGTGGAAATGTAAGAGCCTTACTGGGGACCACTTTCTGGGAGCAAAGGAGGATAGCTCACCATCTGGGGTGCGGGTGTGACCTGGGCAGGAAGCGATGGAGAAGAGGAGGACTGAGGAGAGAGACCCAGGCCTGGCAGAGCTCCCAGGAAGACCCAGCCACTCCAGCCGGCTCTGGGGCAAAGGTTCCAGCAGAGAAGGCCCACTCAGGACCCGGTGCCAGGCGGGGTTCCAGCTGTGCTCCATCAGCAACAGGGCGTCCTGGACATGTCCAAAGTGCCAGGTTGGAGGATCTCCGCAACTGCAGCCCAGAGGAGATCCGAG